GGGTCGAGATAAAAATAAACAATATCCTTAATAAAATTTCTAAATTTTAAAATACTGACATAAAAATATTAAACTAAAAAGTTCGAAACTTTATATAATTTGCAGAACTTTAACTTCTAGAAAATTGAAAAAGAAATAAAAAACTGCCGTGACCAGGATTCGATCCTGGGTTATTGCGGCCACAACGCAAGGTACTAACCACTATACGATCGCGGCGATGCAGTTGCCTCATTATAAAGTTTTTAAGAGAGCATTTGTTAGTTTTTAAACCTAATTACTAGAGCATTGAGGAAGTTTAGAAAGAAGAAAAAAATATCGTATTGGTGAAACCTTTTTAACATTATTTTATCAGCGTCTTAGATACGGATGAAGAAACATCGGCTTTCTCTCTCCTTCGCTCCCTCTCTCCTTTGCTCCCTCTCTCTCTCTCTCTTTCTCCCTTTTTTTCAATAAATTAAAAAATAATGTTTATTGAGAAACTCTTTTTATAAGTAAATTTTTCAAAAGAAAATTTTTTATGCTGAATCATATAATTACTTTCGAACTAAAAAGCATTAAGACCAGCTTAAGACGTGATCCTTGACTCCGCTAAGAACCACCGAGTACATGCGATATACTTGCTCTTAAATTCTGTTGAATCGAAAGTGCTGTGGTTGGTCGCTGAGAAGTACCATGGAGGCAGGGATCTGGAGAAAATTTCCTTCCGCTACAGATCTATGTTTGAATTGAGGAAGTGGCCTCACAATTGAGATCCCCTTTGCGAATGATTAAAACTGCGATTGCATATCTTCGGATCCTCTTCAGAAATCTTTCCCAGACAGTCACCAATAGCCCATTGTGCAGCTCTAGTGGCGTCGTGAATAAAGTATCTATATATTTGAGACAACTTCAGAATCAAATAACTTTTCTTACAACTTATACATTCGTACATTTCTTTGATTCTTATTTTATGTTAATATATTTCAAATTGTACCTTAATGACTTTTTAGCAATGATATTTTTGAGTTCTTTCTTTATTTCCAAGCAGAACCGAATGAGCAAAACTTTTATTGAACCGAATGAGCAAACCGAATGAGCCGAATGAATAACCGAATGAGCAAAACTTATTTTGAAGCATCAAATAACTAACAAGAGCAACCTCAGCTATATAAAGACTCTTTTGATAGATCCATAAGTTCATTAATTTTCCAACAGCGTCCCAATGTAGTTGTAGGGAGAATATTAGTCTTCAGTCTCATTAACGCTTTGACACAAATTTAGAATTTTTATTAAACATATTTTTTATATTTTTATTCATAATTTTGTATTAATTTAGGTCAAAATAAGTGAAGAATGTTATATTTAGCAATTAACTAATTTATGATTATGAAATGCAGCAGGAAACACCGGTGCCTCTTTCTGCGTTAAGGATAAAGTTTTCCAATATCGGATAACTTCCAAACAATAGTTTTTGAAATTTGTATTTATTTGCAGTAATTTAGATCTAAGAGAAACAGTTTTTTATGATTGAAAATTCTTTAATTTACAAAATTAATTATTCATAAATTTTGGAATATGAATGAAAATTTTTTTTTCAAACTACTTTTTTTATTTTGTACTTTAGTACTAATATGACTCTGATAATTAAACAGATTTTTTAGTAACATTTTTCATTATTAAAAAACATCAAAATATGTTTCTACTTGTAAATAGAGTGCCAGAAGAGGAATACATAAAAGGGACACTGATATCCTATTTAAGTCAAAGGGTTAAGTCTACAGGTGATGTAAATTATTCTGTATCTGCAAAACGTCTAATTGAACATCTTCTGTGTCTACGATTTTCGAAGATAACACCGTATTGTTTGTTTTTTTTAAATCAATTTTGTATACTTTGACTGAATACATAGTTAAAATAATTTTCTGTAAAGTTAAAACTCATAGAAATGTTAAAGATAAAGAAACAAACACTTTGTTTCTACGTTAACAATGAGCCAAAAAAACGAACCCCTCTGAACTTTTAATCTAATGATCGGATCTTCATGATCTAGAGCTCAATCTCAATGTTTCTAGAGGTTGACTTCAAATATGCTAATTAATATTACTAAATGCTAATTAATTTTAAGTTACGAAATCAGACACAAAAACATACTTTCTCTGAAAATACAATTTTTCTTTCCAGATGGATTCTAAATTTCTGACCTCCTGGTCTGATTTCGTAACTTACTTCACATATTAATTAGCATATTTGAGGTCACTCTCTCGAGCCATTAAGATTGAATCCTAGATTGCGAAACTCCGATCATTAGGATCAAAAGTTAATCAGGAAGGTCTGTTTTTTTTAGCTCTGTACATATAGATATAACACGCTTTCCTTGTTATTGCGTTCATATCGTCAATATTCATCTCTTTTACTTAAAATATCACAGTACGCATATTACTCATGTGGTTTCCATTGCACATAAAATATTTTCATTGGATTTAAAATTATTGGCTTACATAAAATAATAACAATATAGTGAAAATGATACTAAAACACAGAATTTAAAGCTATCTTTCTTTTCATATGCCACAATTTCGTTAAGAATAATTTTTTTAAAAGTGAAACTCTAACTCGCAACCGAAGTTGATGATTAATTTACGTGCTGATAAATTTTTAAGTGAACCAGCTGAAAATTAAAAATTGATTCGGAAAAGAAGTTAGAAAATATTGTCAAAGCTTAGTTTTACGTCAACTATATTATTTTGTCCTCCAAAATTTTTTTTCTTTTTTTTTTAATACATTACTCCACAAACATAATTCGGGGAAATAAATAATATTTTTTTGCTATATAGCTAATACTTTTTCTGAGAAACAAGTTTTTCTAGATCATCATCTTCTTGCCCCTTCACTGAGCAACGGACGCCACATATTAATTTTGCATGCAAATACTTTAAGCATTTTAGCAGCTAATAAATTATTAATTTGTTCCATTGTGCTTTTGTTTTGACAAAAGAAAATGTAGTGATTTCCATAACAACAATGCAACTGGACAGAATAATTAAATACAATATCAGATTATTTTTAACTGTAAAGTTTATATTGAAAAGGCTATTTTGGTTAAATCTTTCTTTTTAGAAAAGATTGAATACAAGACGTATGCAATAATATGTTTTATTTCAAACAGTTTACAATATTTATGCCACCATATTACGTCTCAGGATTTGTTTTTATTTATTCCTATAATTTTTTCAAATCTTATTTGACTACATGGTATTGATTTACTGATTCTTGCCATTTTTTGCATTAAATAAAGGGAACGTTTACAACAAAATATATTTAAAAGTATTTTAAATATGAGAAATGTTGCAGCTGCACGAAGCCTGTGAAAATTGTTATATCGTGATTTAGATATTTTGTAAGTACTTTATGCTACTTTGGTTATGTCTAGAGTATGTTTATTTATGTATAATTTATGAATAATTTATGCATTAAACCCAGTGGAAAAAGTATAAAAAATATTTTCCCCGTTGAGAAAATTAATATGGTTCTAGGTTTTTCAAGTCTGCACACTTCTTGACTAGATAGATTTTAACACTATAATCACAAATATAAAATTACGAGAGTCATAAAAATCAAGCTATAATAAGAATTAATTAAAAAAGTAGTGAAAGATTAAGTAAAAAAAGTAGGTCATAGTTTTGCAACTTTTTGGAGTTGATTGTTTTCTACGCTGAGATTTTACCTTTCAATTTCACGAGCATGTATTTTTAATGTGTTTACATTAAATTAATTTAAAGTATTTTAATGTTCTTTTTATGATTAGCTTATTCATAACTACTTTCGGGGAGATGATTTTAATACTGGCAAAGTATGAAATCCGGCATTATATGGAATGTCTAAGCATTCAATATAATGCCTAAAACTAACCGGCAAAGTATGAAATGATTTATATTTCACACATTGCCTAGGCATTCTCTAGAATGATAAATGCTATTTAGGCAAAGTATGAAATAAATGTCCTGATGAGGTTATTACGTAAATGATGTTCCTGTTACTGTGAATGACCGAAATCGGTGGTTGTTGACATTCACCTGTGAATGTTGACAATCACATAGTCGCTTTGGTGAATGTCCGAAATATTTATTACATCCGATTTTATATTAATTAATTCGTGGATATAATTACATTTATTCAAAGTTTTAATGCTTACTGACGATAGATTAGAAGGAACATCAGTGTAGGGTATACCGAGCAAATATATACCGGGCAATGGCACTTGACCTTAAAAAAACATCAGTGTAGGGTATACCGGGCAAATATATACCGGGCAATGGCACTTGACCTTAAAAAAACATCAGTGTAGGGTATACCGGGCAAATATATACCGGGCAATGGCNGTATACATTTGAACGGAATATCCTACACTGATATATTTTTTAAGGTTCAGTGCCACTGCCCGGTATACATTTGCCCGGTATACCCTGCACTGATATTTTTTTAAGGTCAAGTGCCATTGCCCGGTATATATTTGCCCTGTATATCATATTCTTGGAATAAAATAAAATGTGGTTAAATATGGTTAGAAAGAACATTATGCATTAATAATGCAAGTAATAAAATAGACAGAACATAAAGTGGAATAGATAGATAACAAAATAGAAAAATTGTTTTTGCACACGAACTGTGACGGAAGTATATTATGGATCCCGCATACAAGCAAAGATCTAAATTTTGAAATATAATTTGGACTCTAATGAAATTTTTTGGATTAATAAAAAATACGCAATATAATACTAATGCATATTAGGAAGGACAACTATTAGAAAAAATTCTTAAGAAACTAAAAATAGAAAATTGAATTATGGATAACTTTGCTGTTCAAAAGGTAAATGCAGAAGTCGGTTGTATCTTACCTGGAAGACAGAAAGAGAGGGTAGTAGAATCAAATAATTTACTAATTGTTTTTAATCCGTTGTATTGTTTCAGGTGACTTCATTTGAAAACATTGTGAAGCGTAAATAGGCTGGTTTTTAAAGAAAATGGAAGCTCTTTCACCTGAAAAAGGCACAGAGCAGGAAATTCTTGAACCTGCTGTCGTATTTGGGAACTCATCCGTTTATGCCATAGCGCAAGTTGGAAAATCAAGAAATACATTTCACCAAGTCTTTTGGATTATTTTTCTATTCATGGCGCTTTTCGTTTGTATTCACCAACTTTATCCTTTTATAGTTGTATATTCACAGTATGACGTTATCGTCGATTTTCAAGTCGAACATAAGTGGAGCTTAAAATTTCCTGCAGTAACTGTTTGCAATTTGAATCGAATGAAAAAGCGATATATTTTGTGCATGAATCGAAATAGTCCATTGGACGTTTGTAAGAATAGCGCGCAAGGGGGAAAAACAACATTCACTCTGTCTGAAAGAAATACAATAATATCATGCAAAGCTCTCTTGTATGGAAATAGCAGCATCTCGCATCACTCAGCCCTTCCATTTATGACGAGATATTCTCTTTTGGATAAAGAAAAGCGTAATTCAATAGGAGAGCAAGCCAGTAGCTTCATACGTAGCTGCTCGATAAATGGCGCAATTTGCTCAATAGAAGAATTTTCGTTCGTGCAAAGTTTCCGCCATGGTAACTGCTATACTTTTAACAAACGAAAGAAAACTGATTTCAATCCCCTTGTGGCTTCAATGAATAAACCTAATTTAGGTTTGGAGCTAGTTTTGGATTTGCATCTTAAACAATATATGACAGAAACGCAAGCAATTGGAGCAAAGATATTAATACATCATCCGAAAGATGAACCAAATATAGAGGAAGAAGGGATTACAATTAGTCCAGGATTTGAAACTTCAATAGGTTTGTCGAAAATGCAGATCGTAAGACTACCATATCCTTTCAGAGATCAGTGTATTCACTATGAACTTGATGATAAATATCCTTTCTCCAACCAACAGGACTGTGTCAGAAGTTGCATACAAAATTTTAATAAACTTGCATGTGGATGCACAGATCCAACTATACCGAAAGCAGATGAAACAAAACTTTGCAATATTTCTAATGCCACAGATGTTTGTTGTCTTGATAAGGTTTTGGAAGATCTAACAGCAGACAAATTTACTTGTGACTGTCCATTTCCTTGCCATTCTGTTGGTTACGATATCCAACTTTCCTATGCAAAATGGCCATCAAATGCATTGGGATATTTTCAGAAATACGATATGATCCATGCAAATAAAAGTGAAATTGCGAGAAATCAGGCAGCGATAAAAATATATTTTTCTGATTTTAGACTAACGTCGTATTTTCAAAAGCCTAAGTTTGAAAAATCGGAAATCTTCAGTCACCTCGGTAGTGAACTTGGTTTGTGGTTAGGATTTTCCCTTTTTGCGACACTTGAAATATGTGAGATTTTATGGCTAATTGTAAATTACTTCCTTAAGAAGTCCTTAGCTTTCCTAAGAATTCGAACACAATAAAATTGGATATAGATACAAGCATATATGGCAACGTTACTTTTAAAAAGTAACGAGTAAAAGTACAAGTATTTTTAAAAAAAGTATCGAGTAAAAAGTAAAAAGTTCTTATTTTAAAAAGTAACGAGTAAAAAATACAAGTAAAAGTACAAGTACTAAACAAAAAAAGTAACGATTTAAAAGTACATTTCTAGGAAATCGAAAATTCAAAGTAACCTAAAATTTTATTGA